TGTTCAGGGTAAAAGGCTTACTCACAAGCTAGAAAGCCTCTGTGAACCAGTTTAGTACGAAATCGATGGACACTGAAGTGATGGTTTGGACGGGAAGTGTACCTTCTCTTGTCCTTCAATGAATGTTTTCTTTCTTAATCATATATCCTCCATGGGAAATCAGGATTTGAAAAAGAATTGAATAAATTAGAAAAAAAGCCAAAATTGCTGTTCACAGTAGGGCTTAATTTACGCACAATAATTCTATGGTGAGATCATAGCAATGATTCAATGATGAATGAAAGTTATGATAAGGGATACACGCAAATGACACTTATGCTCGTTATTCATTTTTTTTAACCTAAGTGTTATCCACCCTCATCGACATTATTCAGATCATTTATGAAGCGGGCTTCTACCCTTCCTTTCACGACCAGCCTTGACTGACAAGGATACAACATCCCAGCAGAAAGGCTGAGGGATACACCATGAAAATTATCCCTATACTGAAATTGAATCCAGGTCTTATGTGGGGGCTCTCGTGGCCGAGAGGATAGGGTGCTCGCCTCTCATTCAATAGGTCCCGGGTTCGAATCCGGATAGCGACGGAATTTATTTTTCTTCTCTAAAATCGTCTCCTTTCACCTCCTGCTCTCTGGCAATGTTCTGACGTCCGCTTTCGTCTCCAATGTTTGCCCCCACCCCCTCACCTCCTTTTGCCCTCCTCTGGGCTCCTGACTCTTTCTGCAGCCTTTCTACTGCTACTCCTTGGCTCCTTCTTACAGCTGTCTTTCTGCCATACCCCTGATCTTCTGGTAGGAGAGATCTACCCCTAGTCTTTTCGGACAAGGGCGAAAAATCTCGGAGGGCCCGTGTTCAAGTTGTGCACGTTATAGATCCCCTGGTGGTCTAAAATCGATAAGAATAGGCCTCGGCCGCCACCCGGGCAAAATTCAAAATTTCCTACCAACTGAAAAAGTTTAATGTGTCCCTTGGCGCTCATAATAATGACCGCATGCAGTTGCGAGCGCGGTAAAAGACTACCCCCCAAAAAAATGTCTTATGAGCTCGACAGGAAACCGCCAAATGCTACACAACAGACACCGGTGTTCGGGCTCTAAATTTCTACCAAAATTAAAATCCATTGGTAAATAGCATTAACCACTCAATAACCCACAGTGTTTGTGTTTATGAAAAGAAAGAACGAAAGTTTGGAAGAATTGGAAACAAAAGAAAGAAAGAAAGAAGAAAAGAGAGGACACGAAAAAGTTAAGGAGATGAAGGGGGGGGGAGAGGGGTGTGAGTGGAGATGTAACAGGGAGGTTGGGTGTGTGTATGTGGAAGAGAGAGAAAAAGAGAGAGAGAGAGAGAGAGAGAGAGAGAGAGAAAGAGAGAGAGAGAGAGAAAGAGATCGTGGTTGTATGTGTATCATGTAATTTGTGTGTGTTTATTTGTGTTTGTGTGTGTGTGTGTTTGTGTGGGTGTGTGTGTGGGTGAATTTGTGTTTGTGTGCGTGTGAGAGAGATCGTGTGTGTGTGTGTGTGTGTGTGTGTGTGTTTATGAGAAAGAAAGAACGAAAGT